CATGCCAGCGTCGAAAATCAGGTCGTGCCATCGCTGGACCAGGTTCGAATGCGTGACATCGAGGCGTAGGGTTGATGCTGCCTGGAGGGTGCAGCGTCTGAAGTTGGGCAGGCCGAACAGCTTGCATGGCTTTCGGTCTTTCTGTGAGGCATCGGACCTGGTTCGCGTATCTGCTGCCATCAGCTGCTGTGACATAGTCACGCAGTGCCTGCATCTCTGGTGACCTGGCTTGGGGCAGCTCGTTGTGCTCAGCTTGTGGCTGCTTCCAGCAACCGGCCATGTCAATTGAACAGATGCTCACGCGAACGACACCACTCTGCATGTAGATAGATAGATAGATAGATAGATAGATAGATAGATAGATAGACAGATAGATAGATAGATAGATAGATAGAATAGATAGATAGACAGATAGATAGATAGATAGATAGATAGACAGATAGATGGATAGATGGATCGATAGATCGACAGAACAGAGATAGAGAGATGAAGACAGATAGTGAGACAGAGATATAGAGGTTTTGGGATCGAGATAGAGATAGACAGATGCAGAGAGATAAGGATAGACACAGGGAGACAGATAGATGGATAGATAGATAGATAGGCAGACAGAGAAAGGGAGAGAGAGAGAGAGAGAGTCAGAGTGAGACAGATAGATGGACAGATACAGAGATAGTGAGATATAGAGAGACAGCGAGATACAGACTGCGAGATCGATGGATAGATAGATAGCTAGAGAAAGAAAGATGGACTCACAGGGAGATGGGGGCAGAGATGGATATCTGCAATTATGAATGACTGCAAGTATGTATGTCTGCGTGCATGCATCTGTGCTCATACACCTGTCCATGCGTGTCGATGTCTTGGCATAACTCAGGAGAAGTGTGAGCCGTAATGGGAGCTCTGCTGAAACCTGTGCATGGGAGGAAACATGAGGGAACTCGGTCCCATGCTGATGAATTGTTGGCCAGTCCTCGCAGGAGACGGTGTTGTGCACAAGTCTAGAATGGGCGCTGGTCACGTCAAGTCCTGGCTCTTCATTCCGATCATGGCCGTGGGAAAGTGTCACCAGCCACCAACGGGAGGCTGCCTGGGTTTCGGATTGGGTCAACTTTGACGACTTCAGTAGAAAGCTATGGACTTTGAACTTGGCTCTGCACCCTGCAGATCTTGCCTTGACTACCGGAGTTGCGCAGGCTGCTAAGATGCTGGGAGCCGAATCACTCGCGACACCGGACGCCGCAAGCTGCTGGCGAAACCGGTCACTTCCGCAACGAATATTCCAAGATGTCAACAGGCAGCATCTAGGGCACATTTGCTTTTGACGGAGCTGGTCTGGACTTTGTCATGCACTGCCATGCATCACCACTTCGCAATGCTGCCACTGTTTGTGGGCATGCGAGCCGCTCAGATACTAAATAGAGTGTCCACGCCGGCAGAGCTTGATCCGTCTTAGTCACAACTATGGGGTTATGAGCAGCAACCTTCATAGCACGGAACAAGCTCAGGAAAAGCATGGGACACACTTGCAGCGAACTCATCATACTGATTCACCTACAGGCGACAAGATCTGTTGCATGATGCTAACTTGGTGTCTTCGTCACAGATCTGCAGGACAACCACGATTACTGCGGCAAATCAGTGTCTGCAGCAGATGTCAGATCTTGCAATCGCCACAGCACCCTTCGGGATGTAGAAAAAGGTGGCAGCAGTGTGACGGGGTTCACTGTTGCCTGTCGCTTGACGAGCGATCTACAGAGTTGCTCTTGGCAGTGCCTCACTCTCAGAAATGCTGCCCGGTAGTCGGCCTGCGAGGGAGAAACAAGTCCCTCTAAAACTACGCCTAAGAAAACGCGCCTGCTTCCAGGACGGTCCATTGTCATCAACTGTGCCTGGCTCTCAAAGTGCAAAGACGAGCCTATTTCTCCCATGCCCAATACGCCTGACCAACCCTTTGAGGGGCCATTGAGGATGTCGTCGACTTGTTCGATGTCCTCAAGCTGTCCACGTGTTTCACTTAGCGGAAGCTCGTCTGCGTAACAATGTAAGAAAAGAGCGGCTACTGTTTCGCGAGTATTTAAAGAGTATTTAGAGGGTTCCAATGCGTGCCCACCCACCCATTTTTTCCCCCGCCCAGCCCGCCCACACCGCCGTTGCCGCAATTTTAAAAGCTCCAAATCGAAGCTCCGAGTTGGAGCTGCCAGCTTCACCATGCAACACACCGACCGTTTTCAAATTAGTGCTCGCAATGTTGTCGATGTCAGAAAGGTCTCATAGACTCATAGCCATCATCATGACCACTAGCTTGACAGGAATCGTAACAACACTGCTGTGGCAACGGTAATCGCGATTGAACCGCCATTGTACCTAGCCGATGCACATGAGCAGAAGATCGCTGCCACCGCACCGCTCAGAAGACGAGTAATAACACTCAGTGAGGATGCGACCTTGAAGCTCCAGTGGCAGGCCGCCAGTCGAAATAGTTCCTGGTGCATCATGGGAGCAAAACTATCTTCTGGCTTTCCGAATACCTGTGACTCCCCTCAACTGCCGATGTGGCCGAACATGAGAGAATCACGTGGGAGAGCTGCCCTTATTGCGCTGTCCTGTCCCGCGCCGGATCAAAGCCCGGGAAGTTCGGAACTGATCGGCATCGTGGCTTTCGCTCGACGACCTGGCTTCACCGCAGGTGATCCACCACGAATCCAGTTTGTGCCCGACCCTGGTCTGCGATCAACATGACATGCCGTCGCCACGAACGGAGCCACGGTCCGCTTCCAGAAAGTTGCTGATGCCTGATCAACTCAGCAAGGAAATGCACGAATAGCATGACCTGTGCATTCGGAGAAATCAGTGTGAGGTTCCACACAATGATGCAATTCGCGGTTTTCCCATGAAACGCCACATTGCTGCGTGTCGTGGAAAAGTGGAGCCGATGGTTCAGAGATTTTGCGTCTTCGTGACCACTCGATAAGCGGTGGGTTCCTACGCGTGCGTCTTAACTGTCTGGTCTCTTGACGCCAATTAAGGGGTGAGACAACTTCGCTAAATGACCCAAATGGTCGGATGCCGTTCGCGGAGGTCTCTAAAGCTTCTGCATCTGAATCAGCGTGCGAGGGCTAACTCAGCATTGCGGCATCGGCTTTGCTTGGACGTTTCGTCAGGCTTTGCCCAGTCACTTGAATGCAAAAGCTAAGCCTGAACCGGACAGAATAATCAGTCTACGAATGCCGCACGGCACGGTAAGTGTGCTTGCAGCAACGGCACGCGAAGAGGTATTTCTGATGCCGCCACATGGACATGGACAATGGCATCGTGACAGCAGGACTCTGCTACACATATACACAGCTACATTTTCCGTCTCTGGTATCACTCTTGGATGCCAGGGCTCGCAAAGGTCTGCCATGTAAGTACATTGGATACGCACGAGGCTCATGGACCCTAAATCACATTGCAGGACATGGACGACCTGACAACATGCACCAAAATTGCATCGTTAGCATGCTAGCACGCCAAAAGGCTTGCTCAGCTACCACGCGCATCTTGCAAGGCTTCGCACCAGCACAGGTACAACGGAGCATCTAGTTGTGCAACTTCGCGATGCAAACGCACCAACAACTGGCTATCACATTGCCTTCCATTCCTAGCATGTCTTGGTCTTCGGGATCGACGAGAACTTCTCCAGGTGAAGTTTGGGGTCTAGATTTATCAATCATCGCATTCAGATCCTTGGTGTCAGTACGAGGAATTTCCTCCACTTGGCGTGGGGGAAACGTGTACAGGGGCTGCGCACTAAATAGAGAGCGTGGGCTTTAAAACCCTTAAAGCTTCGACAGGAAGGGTCAATGAAAGATACGCCGCTGATTGTCGTTGGCTTTTGGAGGCTCACTGCTTTGCGAATGCAGGAATACGAAGCCACAGCGTGGTAGCCTTGCCTGGCAGCATCCCTAAATCCAGCGTCGAAAGCGGTGCTGACTGCTCATGTATGGTCCCTTCGCGCCATGGATCTAGATCATACTGTCTGGACATTGGACAGTTTAAGACTCGGTCAACCGTGTAGCAGCATGCTAAGCTGCAAACTTCAGTCTGTAGCTATCCTATGAAGCTGGAAAGTAATTGGAAGTATGCAAGTGATGAGAATCGAAGGGGCTATTGAAAAGCGCAAGGAGGCTATGACATCAATGCAACGAGACGCAACCTTGCCGCACATGCCGTGAGCACTACAATTCTCCTACATGAAGCTGGGTGCTCGGAATCTCTTCACTAATGACTTTAACCTGTGTCGGAAATTCAAGTTACCTGATGCAACTCACGTAACGGCAGACTTGCTGGCTCTCATTGCTCCTAGCCACGGCCCATTGTGGGACGAAGGTGTCTCAATCTTTTCACCGAGCAGTGCAGAAAGAGGACAGGAGAGAAAGCAGCCAGGCCTCAAGCAACTTCTTCCAGCAGTCTGTCTCCACAGGTCGACAGCGGAGACGCCCGATCAGCGTAACAGTATTGCCCTCCCGTTCCAACAGAGAAAACTGTACCATTTGTACTTGGTCTATGGGCTCGTGGCGGTGCCCAAAAGATTGCAAACCATATATCTTGCATACACGATGCAACTGTATCATCGCACGATCATGCTTCGTCGGACTGCACATGTGTCATGTGTTCACTCAAAAACGACATGAACAGTTCAATACTACAGCAGCTACATGTCTCGACTTGACGAATGTACGGTGGCACACGGCATGGCATGTCATCACCCATGCTCCTGAAATTCGTGCCGTATGTAATCACTTGCGGCTGTGGAGACAGGCCACCAACGGTGAACAGTGCAAGGAGTCGTCAGCCACAGGCCCCACAGGGGCGCTTCGGACTGGGTCTTTGACAGGTTAGCTGCGGCTCCCAGATCACCTTGGGGACATTGGCTCTTCGGTCCGGGCCTTAGCGTCCAGCCGTTTAAAGCGAAAGTCTCAAATCTCCACGACCGAGCTCTTGCAGCCCAGAATCGTCTACAGTGAAATAAGTTCCGTCCGCCTCTCTCGGATAATGTCCGTCCTTGCCACAGGGAGCTTCTGCTTACAAGTTCCAAAGGATGGCACTGCAGCCTCAACCTCGCTTTAACCTGGAACGTATGTGAAATATGGTAAGGTCTACCGGTAAGCCGGTCCAGAATGTCCAGAATGCCTTCATCACGGTGGATCTTGCATGACCCTATACAGCATTCATCAGGTGGATCTTGCATGACCCTATACAGCGACTGTTGCCTACGGGGGCGGGACGAGACCCGACTGAGAAGCCTTTCTTTGCTGCAAAGCATCTGAGAAAGCTGCCTTCTCTCCTGTGCAGGGAGGATTCTAGCAGGATGTCAGGTGCGAGAGACTTTGAATGCTCGCCCTGCACATGACGTTCCAATCAAGGCCCTGCCTTCGGGATGGCTGCCTCAGCAGGTTCTTTTGACCTTGCAACAGCCTTCCAGATTACATTCTCAGCTCACCCAGCAGCGAGGGTGGGTCGTGACTTCAAAAAGCACCTGCTCACTGTCCGACTACATTGTGTCACCAAGACATGTTGCCAAACGTGTACCGTCAATGAGCATATTCTACTGCAGGGACCTTTTTACATAGATAACACAAGATCTCGGCATGCACCTGGCTGCCGAGAAGAACCGCAGGGGCCTCCTGAGGATCCAGCGGTGTGTGGAGAGGGTCGTCCCTGGGGATTCTCCGGGGACAACTTGGTGTTCTGGACTTCGGAGGTTGGAGTTTGGACGTGAATTTGGATCTTGGGTGAAGCTGACAAGGGGGGGGGTGATGACGGCATGGTGATCACGACATTGCGAGGGCGACATGATGCACACGACATTACGATGACAACATGATTGGATTCACAAGAATCCTGGCTTGAGCAGTGTCTTACGACGACTGTGGGAGGACTAAACAAGCTGAGATGCCTTCGTGCTCAGTGCCAAGCCTTGAAGCCACCAATAAACACACGACACCTACTCTGACCTCATACCTTGAACCCGTCCTAAGCTTTGCTAAACTCTAAACCCTAAAACCACATAAAACCAAGTCCATCGGTGGACTCTGTCTTTCTCCACGTGTGCGAAGTACGGGAAATACCAGTCAATTTGCTCCTCTGTTGCACATAAACCGTGAAACGCGGGTTTTTCCTGATGAGCTGAAGTACTTCTCCGCACTCGACAAGCACCTCGAGTTTTTGCATGTTTTCTTTCAGGCATCAGCAGACGAAACCCAAAAAAAACTGTGAACCGAAACACAACATAAAACCACGACTGTCGGGATTCCCTGTTCCTGTCGAGGTGTACGAGGTACTGTAAATACCAACGAATTCGGTGCCCTCTTGCGAAGACACCATGGAACGCAGGGGTTCGTCATGTTTTCCAATCTTACTGCGTGCTCCCACAAGACAAAACCTCGAGTGATTGCATGCTTTCGCTAACATCTTCGAGCACGTATTTCCCAGCTATAAGTACGCACGAAGACAACATGTTCCGATTAGCGTAGCTATGTTGTGCAAGTGCAGAATCAGTGGTATTTGCAGTGCTTTCGAGCTCCTGCAACATGTTCTTCTCTTATACCCCCACATGGTCTCCGGAGAAACTCCAGGGACTTGCCTGTGGAGATGCTTTATGATTTATGACTTTTTTGTGTGACTCGCCACCTTCATAGTCGAAGTTTGCCACAGCCTTGAGAGCCCAAGGTCCTGCTTCTTCGTTCCTTCGCAAGCCGCTAATTCCTCCAAGGGGCCATACGCAAGCGCAGGCAGAAAAAGTCGGCCGAAGTCGCTCTTCACAGTAGCGCCTTCCACTGCTGCATCGTGCAGCAAGGCAGGACTTCCTGCTCCAACATCGCGGAAAGCACCTGCAAGCGTAAAAATTCTCTGCTCACAAACGCCACAACCAGCCGGAGGACTTGGCGTGCAGTCGTGCCGAGTCGTGCCTGTGCGGCTTGCCACGTCAAGCTGGACTTCGTCGCGTCTGCGCTCCACCGGTCCCGGACCTTTTAGCGACTGCGACTGTGTGCGACTATGACATACTATGACTCTACATCTGCTACGTGAAAGCGCAGTAAAAAAACGGGAGTCCGACGCTCGTATCCCAAAGTTGTCCCTCGTGAAACTTGCGTCCTTCGGTGACAGCTCTGGGGAAGCCAAGCCAGGCATGGACCTCGCAATCGCAAGATCCGATCAGTCCTGTAAGATGATGCAGCGAGGTCGCAGGCTCAAGGTTGGCCTCAAGCAGAGTGAAACACACACGGCCGAGCTACTGCACTGCAGGACAGCTGAGATGTCGGCCAAGCAGGCTACTTCTTCACTGCTTGCAGCAGTGCTTTGCCCGCTCTCTGTACTGGCTGTGCTGCGATCACTCTCGCAAGTCATAATCCGGCGGGAACCCTGAGTGAATCAGAGATCGGGGCTCAATGGCCACACCACAGCGGCGGAAAGAATGCAAGGCTCTTGAGGGTTGAACGGATGCCGTTGGTGAGCCAGTGCATCCAGGGAAAAAATGAAACGGATATGTCCTCAGCAAATGCAGCACAGAGATGCGCTCCCAGACATCTCACCGGAGCTCGGCGTCGGGCTCGTGTGGTTTCAGGTCTGGCCGCGTGCCTCCATATCTGGCCTCACAGCTTGATGACTGACCTACTGGCTTGGTAGCTCCACGTTTCAACTCGATTCCAGTTTCTGGTGGCCTCTAGCTGGTTGGGCTCAAAGTATTTCAGAAGCTCCTTGGAAGGGTCCTGAAGCGGATGGATTTGCAAAGGATGAGCCCTCGCTATTTCAGGGCCGGCTCCTCAATGGCACAAACCTTCTTCTTCTTCTCCGCAGGTATGACGCTCTGCACTATGCTGCGCAAGATCGTCGGCCTGAACGGCTTGGCCCAACACATTCATGCGCGATGGGCTCCACGCAAGTGTCAAGATGCCATGTATCTAAGGCCGCAGGCAGATTCAGGAGCTTCACCCACACCTGGAGACAAAACCAAGCGGCAAGAACGGCTGCGGGAATTTCCAGGATGCCAAGAGCCCAGCCATGCGGCAGCAGTACACGCTCTCCAGTGTCTGGGACAGAGCCTTTGCAGTGAGACCTGAGCTGCACAGAGCCGGCACTCCCCAAAAACAAAGCCTCTTTCGTCCGGCAAGCCGAAGGCCGACGACCTCAGAAATTGGCACATTGTTGGCAACTGGAAGAAGGAGACAACGTCCGATAAATTCTCGCAATCCACCAGAACCACCTGGCTGCAGCAGCCGCGAAAGTAGGAGTCTGAAGCATCACCGAAGCCATCAAGGCCGTATCGCGAACATTGCGAGCAAGGGAGTTAGAGGTATAGGAGCCATGGAAGCGCAAAAACATGCAAAAGCTTGGTGCCAGAGATACCCAGTTCTCGACCCGGCCGGGAACCTAAGTTGAGAGGTAGAGCCCAGGCTTACTCAGTCTCTTTGGCTGCCGCATGAGTTTTGAGTTCCCGGCCATGGCGTAACGAATGGCATACTCTAGAACGAAGATCGTCATTCTAACACACCTCTCCTTGTCCTGCGGACACTGAAAGGAAAATCCGCTGACAGGATTTGAATCCGAAACGCAATGGCA